TTTATGGAAGGAATCAAGAGGGGATTTTGGTTGTGGTCCTAACTGTTTAAAGGTTTGACCAAGATGGGTATTTGAAACAACCCTAACTATTTAAAGGTTTGATCGTTCAATTTGTCAACCTCTCGTTCATAGAAGGAATCGAGAGGGGATTTTGGTTGTGGTCCTAACTATTTAAAGGTTTGATCAAGATGGGCATTTAAGACGACCCTAACTGTTTAAAGGTTTAATCGTTCAATTCGTGGACCTCTCGTTCATGGAAGGAATCGAGAGGGGATTTTGGTTATGATCCTAACTGTTTAAAGGTTTGATCAAGATGGGAATTTGAGATGACCCTAACTGTTTAAAGGTTTGATCGTTCAATTTGTGGACCTCTCGTTCATGGAAGGAATCGAGAGGGGATTTTGGTTGTGGTCCTAACTGTTTAAAGGTTTGACCAAGATGGAATTTGAGACGACCCTAACTGTTTAAAGGTTTGATCCTTCAATTTGTGTACCTCTCGTTCATGGAAGGAATCGAGAGGGGATTTTGGTTGTGGTCCTAACTATTTAAAGGTTTGACCAAGATGGGAATTTGAGACGACCCTAGATGTTTAAAGGTTTGATCGTTCAATTTGTGGACCTCTCGTTCATAGAAGGAATCGAGAGGGGATTTTGGTTGTGGTACTAACTGTTTAAAGGTTTGACCAAGATCAAAATTTGAGACGACCCTAGCTGTTTAAAGGTTTGATCGTTCAATTTGTGGACCTCTCGTTCATGGAAGGAATCGAGAGGGGATTTTAGTTGTGGTCCTAACTGTTTAAAGGTTTGACCAAGTAGACAGTGGGAGTGGGAGTACAAATCACAGGGGGATTGTTATCTTGCACAAGTCGCTCAGAGGGGGTTCCTGGTATTAAGTAACAAATACTTAACACGGAGGGGTTTGATAATCGTCAATGATCAGGAGATTAAAATTCTGAATGCTATGTCTGAACTCTAACAATGAGAATGTTGAGTGCACAGACGTAGTGGGAGTTTGAGTGGGAGTTTCTTATTCATCACCTTTACCTTATTGTAGTGACCGGGTTATCCCTAAGAATATACTATATAAAATTCTCTCGGGAACTTTCCGTTACATGAATTATCCACCCCCAGCTTTCTTCGCGAAACTGGGTCTAACATTGTACTCAGTTGTATGACCAGGTTATCCTTAAGAATACCAGGCATTGCACTCTCCAGGAACTTCCCGTGAAAAGAAGGAAATAGTTTAGACTCATATACCTATTAGAGTGTCAGGGAGCAGTTTAACCTCTTATACCGGTTGGAGGATTGAGAATCAGTTTATACTCGTATACTCTTCAGAGTGTTGAGAAGCATTTTATACTCGTATACTCATCGGAGTTTTGAGAAGCAGTTTATACTCGTATACTCTTCGGAGTGTTGAGAAGCAGTTTATACTCGTATACTCGTCGGAGTTTTGAGAAGCAATTTATACTCGTATACTCTTCAGAGTGGTGCACCGTCATTCGGCTTATTCTAGCTTTATGGCGCCAGAGTCGACTAGAGCTTGAATCTTATTCTTTAGACCGAAACAAACCTCAGTAGGATGGAGAACCCCCCTGTGATACGCACAGTAGTTTGGGTCTGTAATCCTCTTAGCTCCCTCCTGATCTTTAATAGGTGGTAACTCAATCTCACCATTATTCAAGAAGTACTCGAAAATATCTGGAACTTCCTCATCATTGAAAGAGTATTCTTTTTGGAGTCTCGGATCTGGAGTCCTTTGCTGCTTTTGAGGTTGTTGTTATGATGTCTGACTATTATCACTAGCAACCACATGCCTTGACTGTTGGCTTTTTTCGGTCTTCTTCCTTCTGAGGAAGCGTTCGGCTTATTTGCTGCGCACCTTCAAGTATTTCCAAGTGTTGGATGGTACGACTCCCATAACTTCTAATATCTCAATAGATAGGTTGTTATCACACGTTTGGAATCACAATTTTCTATGGGTGAAACTTCAACGGGCTCCTGGCCTTCGACTCGCAGTCCGATTCGGCCAGTTGCTAGAATTTTTTTCCTTATGAGAAGGCTTCATATGGTCATGAGGGCGCGTGCGATCCCCAGCTCATTGAGTTGCTCGGGGTTCCTTCACTAGGCCCAAGCGTTCTCTAATAGGAGTTTTGCCTCGATCTTTATGTAGAGGACCCAGACGAGCCTTCAATGGAATTCTCGATTTGGTGAGATCCACACTGTAGTAGGTTTTCACCGGAGGTGCGGGAGCAATAGGAGTGGGATCTAAAATTAACAAAAGCTGGAGATCAGTCTCGGGTGCTTTTGCCTTAGGCGCTGATTTGGCCTTTGACATCCAAACTTGCTTAGATCTTGGTGGCTTTTTGACCATCTTTTCCTTCTGTAACTCCTGTGACTTCCGTACAAGGATCCTTGTCTGTACTAGCAGTGCGCGGCGCTTATGGATATGCTCCTTAAGTTTTGAACGGGTCTTTTTGACAGGAACCCATTCATTAGTTGCTGGTTTGGAGAAGGAGGCGTTTGCTTGCTGCTGGAACACTTGGCGCCTTCTGAGTTTCAAATCCACATCATAGCAGGTCCAGTCAACATGCTCCAAAGCCTTAGCAAATTAACGCGCGAGATGTTGACGACACCTTTGACAAAACCTCTTCGTCAGCACTGGTACACTTTCAACGGGCAAATCCTTGACTTTCGAGGAGTTGTCACGAACGTTGGATCTAGTTTCTTTGAAGGTCGGAGAAGGGTCTTCCACTGCATTCGGGTTCAGATCATCAGCCCTAGTCTTTGGATTTGAAGTCACGTTCTTCGCGGCAGTGGTTTTCCTGCATTTGCAAGAAGAAGATCTAGAGGAGGAGGAGGAAATATATTCCTCGAATTTCTGCTGGGCGAATTCGTATTCGACCTCTTCGATCACTGGGATCTTGATCGTCGGTTGCGGCACGACAGCTTCGGCTGCGAAGCTGTTGGCTCCCACTGTGGTCGCCAGCTTATTTGGGGAGAAAATTAGTTTCTTCATTGAGGTACTCATTACAACTTCAGTCGTTATAATGAAAATACAAAAAAAAAGTCTTTTTATAAGACTTTTACATAATAAAAATACAATTCTCGTCAAACAGCGCAGGGATCGTTTATCGGTCTTCTGCTTGCGTAGGATCTTGGCCTGTGATGGGGACGTTGATATCTGTGGACCACCAAATGATCAGATCAGATTCGGAACTTCGTCTATTCGCGAAGGAATCAAGAAGCCAAAGTGCTTATCTCGGCAACAGCGAGATAATTGCTCTTCTTAAGATCACCACAACGGGGTAATCTTAAGGGACGAACCGGGCTGCAGATCTGACAAGCTCCTCTTCTTTATGCTGACAAACTCAATATGATCTCTCCTTCTCCTCTGTGAAATTCATGGCTCTTCAGTCCTCAATTCGGCAGGGCTTCGCCGACGTTTAAGAATTCTAGATCCTAAAAAATGAAGGCACTGGGGCTGTATTTATAGACTTAGGGACCCCTGTTTTCGGATAAGAACGGTCGTTCTCTCTTATCTTTAGTTGAAACTACTTAACCATATTATCAGATCAGTTGGAACAAATCCAGGTGGTTAACGATCGAAAAATCGCCGAAAACAACCAAAATCAGCGTTTTTTGTATTGCAGACACTTCTGAGTGTCTTGGCCAAGCCAAGACACTTGAGAGTGTCTCGGCCAAGCCGAGACACTTGGAAGTGTCTTGGCTTTGCCAAGACACTTATAAGTGTCTTAGCCAAGCCAAGACACCACAGGGTGTCTTGGCCAAGCCAAGACACCACAAAGTGTCTTGGTTTGGCTTTTTCTGGTTTTGACGCGTCGAGTTTGTTTCCACCGTAAATTCGTCATCCGGACTCGGAATTACGTGGTTCAATATGCGTTGGAAATCCGACGAGGAGATCTACAGGTTCCCATGATTGAATCATATGTGGAGTAAATGGGAAATGAGGGGTGCTCCTCCTTTCGTAAACAACATGGGGCTCCCGATCAGCTCTTGTTCCCGTTATTCCGAAGTTTTGTTGTTTCGTATGGTCCGTTGACTCACTTCATATGTTTGTTGTCGTCAAATGAGCTTCTGTGACTCGGATAGTGACGTTCATCGTCTTCTCTCTGTCTCGAGCCGTGTGCGGGGACCTATAGGCAATTTTTGACGCCTACAAGTATCTGTTCTTTTCATGCTTCACACAATGCGCGTTAGTATGATTCACTTCACTGAATTCAGTTTCTTTCAATTTCTTTCAATATAATGATACTGAGAGCATATTATATGCCACTGCCTCAAATTGGATGATTTATGTCTTATTCTTTAATTAGAGCATTAAATGTTCTATAGTGTGTTCAAATTGAATCCCACATAAGGTGAAGTTGAGCATTTGCACCTGGCATTCTTCCATAACCTTTGGAAAGCCCTATACTATGTTGATGGAAATGATATCTCATATATTGTGGATTGTTTTAGCTTATTCATTACTTGTCTCATGTTCTAGTTCATATCATATTTAAAACAGTCTGAGATAGAAGTACAGCTATGAGAGCTTATTTGTCTATATGCATTCTTAGTATTTTATTTGCCTTATGTGTTTAAGGATAAACTATGGTTCAGGTCTTTAAATTCATTTTTGAAATTTCACATCCAACAACTCTTCATTCAAATTGAAGCATTACATTTCAAAATTTTCCTGGTTGTACCTGAATCCTTATAGATAAAGTGATGATACAAAAATAGCAACAAATATGAGGAAAGGTGTAGCGTCCTTCTCAAAGTTCTTAACATGAAAGTAGAGTTTGGTGAGCATATTATATTTGTTTCAGGTTGGGGAACCTAATGTAGATAACCCTAAAAAGAGTTCATTACCCCCCAACAGCCTTTAGCCCCACAATCACATGCACCCTTACTATTTCTACATTCATAATATGCAACTTACGCTACTCTTCTTCTTTAATTTATGTGCATGAGGTAGCTGGCCAAAAATTAAACATTTTCCCCACTAACGTATATAGAGTTCTAAGTTTAGGACTTGAATTTTTTGTAAAGCTAGCTCTGTATGGAAAGTGAATCACATGTAAGTATCTGTTCTTTTCATGCTTCACACAATGCGTGTTAGTATATAACACTAATATTTACAATTTTATTATCTACATTTCAGGTTATAACCTCATATGTTATGCTTCTAAATAGGTTGATGGAGACGCGTCCCAACTATGCAAAGGACATACACATATGTAGTCCATGGGTAACCGTAAGTAGAAATCCAATCTGAGACTATGTTGTAAGGTTCATAAGCTATATTCATATGTTAATCTGAACTTTCTTTGTTTTTTTAGAGATGCATCAATGAGAATAACCCGTCAAGTGTGGATCGAATGTTTAAGCCAATAATGACTACTCGATTCTAAGAACTTGATAAGATTATTTTCCCACTCCTAACTTTATTTCATTGGCATATGTTGGTATTCTCTGTAAAGGATAGACGATTTTATCATTATTCTTCTCTACGTGGATATATGTCTGATGCTAGTGAATTTAGAGTGAAGCTTATTTCTACCATTCCCGATGCTTGGAATTTAGACATTACTACTTGTCAGGAGGTAGAAAGTGTTGACGTACCTCAACAACGGGGGTTAGTGTATTCGACTTATTCATATGTTGTTTATTCATATGTGCTAATGCATAGAGACCACATATTGCGGGCCAAGACTGTTATATTGATATTGCAAACATTTGAACTTGCAGTAGCTTGGAATGTGGGGTGTTCTTGATGGCATACATGTTTAGCCTCGTTTCCAATCAAACAATTTCAATTGACCAAAAGGATTGTGCAAGACATAGAGCTCGTATCGTTGCTCTATTTCTATCTGAAGGTATATTTTCTATACGTGTAATGTTCATTGAACCGCTTTTAAACTCAACCTATTGTTCTTTTGATCCGCTTATATTTTGCTTTCAGGAAATCAACATCATCCTCAAGACCAATTCCCCGGATGCTAGATGCCAATTGTCATATCAAGCATTTTTTTTTGTACATATATATGTTTGGAAAGTGATTTGTAAAGTGATTTGTCTGAAACCTATGAGACTGTTGTTGGGATTGGTTATGTAAAGTCATTCGTAAAGTTATTTTGTGCAATCAGCCACTGTGGTTATGTAAAGTTATTTGAAAAGAACATATATATGTATGGAAAGTGATTTGTAAAGTGATTTGTATGAAACCTATGGTTATGTTGTTGGGATTGGTTATGTAAAGTCATTTTTGTAAAGTTATTTTGCGCAATCAGCCACTATGGTTAAATTACTGGTTATGTAAAGTTTTGTATGCTTCTACGTCATTGAAATTGATGGTTTATTAAACGTAAAGTTCTTTGGTTCAACGCACCAGCTACATAAAGTTTTTCCTCAAACAGAACACAATATTCTTTTATAGAGATCAGCATGGTACACATAACCATAACAAAACAAAAGGAAGAAAAGAACATTCACACATAATTAATGGAAGCTTTCAACACTTCACTCTCTCTCTAGTTGCATCACAATTACAACAACATATATAGAGTTCTCCTTTCAAACGTAAACACCAAGCAAACACATGTTGATCCCCTGAAGAGATCAACACTACCATTGCAGGCTCTCATTCACAAGCTTTATAATTAAGAAAATATTGTAAGTATAGCACATTATATCATAAGTATAGCGCGTTAACCTGTAAGTATAGTACGTTATGTTATAAGTATAGCACGTTAACCTATAAATATAGCACGTTATACTGTAAGTATAGCACATTACATCATAAGTATAGCATGTTATATCATAAGAATAGCACGTTAACCTATAAGTATAACACGTTATGTTGTACGTATAGCATGTTATATCATAAGTATAGCACGTTAATATGTAAGTATAGCACGTTAACCTATAAGTATAGCACATTATATTGTAAGTATAGCATATTAACCTGTAAGTATAGCACGTTATACTGTAAGTATAGCACGTTATACTGTAAGTATAGCATGTTAACCTGTAAGTAGAGCACGTTATACTGTAAGTATAGCACGTTAACCTATAAGTATTACACGTTATACTTTAAGTATAGCACGTTATGTTGTAAGTATAGCACGTTAACTTGTAAGTATAGCACATTATACTGTAAGTATTACATCATAAGTATATCACGTTATATCATAAGTATAGCATGTTAACCTGTAAGTATAGCACGTTATGTTGTAAGTATAGCATGTTATATCATAAGTATAGCACATTATATCATAAGTATAGCACGTTATATCATAAGTATAGCACGTTAACCTGTAAGTATAGCACGCTATGTAGTAAGTATAGCACGTAACCTGTAAGTATAGCATGTTATACTGTAAGTATAGCATGTTAACCTGTAAGTATAGCACGTTATGTTGTAAGTATAGCACGATATCATAAGTATAGCACGTTATATCATAAGTATAGCACGTTAACCTTAAAGTATAGCATGTTAACATGTAAGTATAGCACATTATGTTGTAAGTATAGCACATTAACCTGTAAGTATAGCACATTATATTGTAAGTATAGCACATTATACTGTAAGTATAGCACGTTAACCTGTAAGTATAGAACGTTATACTATAAGTATAGCACATTATACTATAAGTATAGTACGTTAACCTGTAAGTATAGCACGTTATGTCATAAGTATAGCATGTTATATCATAAGTATAGCATGTTCACCTGTAAGTATAGCACGTTATAGTATAAGTATAGCACATTATATTGTAATGATGGCACGTTATATTGTAAGTATGGTATCCTACATCCAAAATTATGATAACAAACACAAATCCTACATCCAAAAGTATAGCATGTCTTTCATTGATAAAAAAGTATAGCATGTCTTACATCCAAATGTATCCAAATGTATAACATGTCTTACATGACAAAAGTATAGTATCCAAAAGTATATCATGTTAACCTGTCCAAAAGTATAACATGTCTTCTATCCAAAAGTATAGCGTAGAATATATCTAGTCTGTAATAGGTTGTCTACATGTTCTACGGTTATGACTATACTGTTGGCATCTACTACATTTTAACTCTTTGCCCGGATTTAATCCCGAAGGAATGCGCTTTGTCCTTGGTCTTCCACAAAGAATTGATGTTGTCAGTGGCCGAATCACCATATTTTCATCTTCTATACACGGCTTGTCATCGTCAGGAATTGGGTATATCGGAAAGGAGTAGCATTTGGGGTATGTGTCACACTAAAGTAGTGGGAAATATAGGAGTAAAGGGTGTCCATATTTTGTCGAATAACCGTCGTAGCATGTTTGCAAGGTAGCCCGACAACTTGCCATTCACGACAAGTGCATGTGCATTCATTCAAGTCTACTTCAACGGTGGGGAAATCATACACCTCGTACCTTCCTGTAGTAGAAGGAATTGCAGAAAGACAACGTGATTGCTCATTGATATGAATAAGGTGTTCTTCCACAGTAGGAACAAATGATGTGGCCTACTTGTGGGATGCCTCCCGCCTTTCAAAACCCATGCTCATCATTTTCTTGCGAATATTATCAATTGTTTGGGTAATTGGCAAATAACGAGCTTCTTTGATCTAAGAATTAAATGACTCCGCTACGTTTGATGTCAACCATCCATATCTACATGCATGTCAATAAATAGTAAGTATAGCAGGAACATATATCTCAAAAATTTGCATTTAAAATTCTCTATAAATTTAAATTTTGACCTCATCCCAGGAAAATAACAATTAGCCTAATTTTCTGGACTCATCCTCAACATTTCATAATAGGCGATCTCTGATTTGTTCCGTAGCTTGTTGCATTCATTGTTATAGGAACGAGAAGTGTATGCATAAGCGGCCCTCTTCATAATTTGCACACATTCATCTCGTAAAGGTGGTATAATACCATTTTTCGATAGGTTATTCTTAAAATTAGCCAAAAGATGACGAATACAATAAGAGTGATGTGACCATGGAAAGCATTTCTTCACAGAATTCTAAAGTCCTTTGTCCCTATCAGAGGTTAACACTAGTTCATCACATGGAGTATATGGATCTTCATCATTGTAGAGAATGTCTCGAATGCATTTCAAAAACCATTCTCAATTACTCTCATTATCCGTCCCGCATATGCAAATTGCTACGGGAAACATACCTACATCTCCGTTTAGAGCAGTTGCGGCAAGGAAGGTTCCTTTATACCTAAAAAAGAAAAGAACAATCATGAAACAAAGTATAATATGAAGTAGTACATTAATGCAAGTTTTGATTAGATTGAACTCTATCATACCTATCAAAAAGATGTGTACCATCTAAGAACAACATTGGCGTACATCCCTCCATAAACCCCTTCCAACAAGCATAATAAGATACAAATACTCGTGTAAATCTTCCGTCTTCATGCTCTAAGTGAACAATTGATCCCAGATTAGTTTCTATAACTTTATCCTTATACCATCGGAGTTGGTCATATGAAAATTTAGTATCACCATACAATTCACGTTGAGCTAGTTCTTTTCCCCACCAAATTCTATGATAAGGGATGTCCAAACCAAATTCCATTTTAAGCTTCTTCTGGAAATCAATTGGACGATAAGTAGGTTGTTCCTTCAATATGGTCTTGAGATGATTAGCATTCCACTTATGAGATGCCCATTGATATCCTTCCTTTCCTATGCCTCCTCCCAAGAAACTATGAGAACTACATATTTTTTCACATAGAATCGATCACTATCTCTACGATGGGTGCAATGAACCATCCATTCACAGTTTGCGGCCTTGCATTTTGCTGTCACCCTTTTGCGTTTATTTTTTACAAATTCAAAGTTAAATCCTCATGCAATAGAATAATTACTTAAACTCCGCCGACAATGCTCAACATCGTCAAACTCTTGACCAACACTACTAATAGCATTGTGCCATGCAATAGGAATCATACTAGAGCTCTCAACTTCCTGAGACATATTTTGTGAATACGATGGATTTTGTGAATGAGAAACATGTTCGTCGCTAGAGGGGATATATGGATTACTGCGTAAAAAATTGTACAAGACTTAAGAAAGTGATAATGTTAAAGTACAAAACTACAACAAAAGTGGAAATTACCTTATATGGATATTGTTAACTTGTATTCCAAATAATATCTCTCGATTCATCTCAGCGTTCATGACAACAATATTCTCCTTGTAACTTTGATGTACATTGAACATTATCGAGACATCATCATCATCATCACATACACGAACATAAATTTCTTGTGTGTGGGGTACTTTGTAAGTCAACTGTATCATGTTTTCACTACAAGCAATTAGGCTTTGGACTGCAATGGCCAAATCTTTGTAACTCCCGTTGACATTTAATTCTAAAAAGTGATTGTTTCCTCTAAAATCCGTCAATTGGCAATAAAATTCTTCATTCATCTATATTTGTCACCAAAAATAAACAAATTTAGAGAAAAAAATTCATCAAATATAGTCACATAAAATCAATACAACTAAAATACTACTACATGATAACGTGCTATACTTACAACATAATGTGCTATACTTACAGGTTAACGTGCTATACTTACAACATAACGTGCTATACTTACAGGTTAACGTGCTATACTTACAGGTTAACATGATATACTTACATGTTAACATGTTATACTTACAACATAACATGCTACACTTACAAGTTATCATGCTATACTTACAGGTTAACGTGCTATACTTACAATATAACGTGCTATACTTACAGGTTAACGTGTTATACTTACATGATAACGTGCTATACTTGCATGATAACGTGCTATACTTACATGATAACGTGCTATACTTAGAGGTTAACATGCTATACTTACATGATAACGTGCTATACTTACAGGTTAACGTGCAATACTTACATGATAACGTGCTATACTTATGATATAACGTGCTATACTTATAGGTTAACATGCTATACTTATAGGAGAACGTGCTATACTTACGATATAACATGCTATACTTACAGGTTAACGTGCTATACTTACATGATAACGTGTTATACGTATGTGATACGTGCTATAACTAATTTTTAACTAATTTTTATGAATTCATAAATAATAATGAGAAATTAGTGTGAAATAATCATGC